ATATATATATATATATATATATATATATATATATATATATATATATATGTAAGTGCCGAACTTTGTCTCACATCGGAAGAAAAACGACCTTTTGCTTCGTTCTCTGGGCACTTTATTATGCCGTGCAGAAATGCATTCTGAAGCACTAATATCATGCTGAAACTGAGAGGACATACTTCGAAGGCTCTGTTTCAATTAATAAACGTCCATTCCGCTACGTCACATTAATCGTTATTACAACATTTTCACCAAAGCAGCACTGCACGCGTGAAAGATGATGGTCGCTATTCAATCTAGTTACTCCACGTCAGAACCTTGGAAGCTACCCGTAATTGTCCATATAGACGAAACAGCTATATGGATTAGCTCCGTTCCCCTGATCCTAAAAAAGTCCCCAACATGGCAGCGTCGGAAAGGATAGCTTGAAAAAGTTGCTAGAATCTTGGTATTATGACGAGTTGCTCAGAAGAAGATGGAGTAATGGGGTGATGTGTGCTTCTAATGCACAAGCGCTTGCATCGGAAGCGTGTATCGAAAAATTGATGATTCAATCTAGGAAGACCAAGTATGACGTCATCAGAATGGACGACACGAGGAGGCTTTGGCCGTTGTTGAGACCGGAGAGTGATAGAGAACTGCTCCTTGAAACATGCGATAACAGTGACGTCTGCGGTGCAGGTGTACTCGCCAGTACGCACTAGGTATCACGTACATCGATTCTTGCGAAAGCTCGACAATCTGAATCGGAAGTTTGCGATTGAAACATGTGGCTCAATTCCAGCTCCGACAATTCTCATTGCTTACACGCCGCTATGAGGCTGCGAAAAGTAGGAGCTGGAAGAGTTCTATATGTACCGAAAAAGCTCTTCAGAGAAAACCATACCGCCTTGAAGGTCATCATCGGTGATTCCAACGCCAGGATTGGCCCCTAAAGAACGAGTGAAGAGAGGCATGTTTGGACTCACAAAACGGAATCAAATGATTATACTGAAGGACTGGATGAGTTTATCATGTCGATCCTAACCACCTCTAGCCATTCGCAATTCTGGATGCTCTTTTGTCCGCAATGGGCTTGGGAGCTAACCGGGGAAGACAGCCGCACAATGTGAGAGATCTTATCATGCTCGTTTAAAAGCTTTGCACGACTGACACCGCTGTTGCTCGGAGCTCTATACGAAATAGACACCACAGTCCCCTCTGCACCATATTCTGTTCTTGTTTCGATAAGAGGAGAGAAAACCAATAAAATTTGAAAAACTGCAGAAGACCATTAGCAATCACTGACTGGTATCACTCTTCTTTCTTTGAAATTTGTGGGAAGTTCCGTTATTAACGATATCGAGGAACAGTATAGCCAGCTCACACAACAATGCGTGAAATCTTCATAATAGTACTAGGAAAGTGTATACAGTAGCGCTCAAAAGTCTTCGGCTAAACGCTCTTACATTTTTTCATTCATAACTGATTTCTTAGTGGAGCTAATCGCGCGAAATTTTGATATGTTTCACTGAAGCTCATTTTTCACTACTCGACACCATTTGATTGCAAAGCAACAGTATCCACACAAGTGGAGCAAGATGTTGGTTGCGGTAGCAGATTTTGCTTAAAGCAAAGTTCTTGACGTCTGTATACATTCCCTCCTGGATTTTTCTCAGCTATTGTATTCGGCCTTAGCGCTCATACACTTCGGACATGGCAGAAAGGAAAGAATTCCAGAAGGACCATTATTCGTACAGGAACATGATAAGATTGCAGGTTAATAGTGGTAAATATTCACGATATACTCATACTGGACATATTGAAGTTTCGCATGATTACATCAAATATGGAAGAAGCACGACTGAAAAGTACATTTGAAGAGGCATTTGGCCGATGACTTTTGAGCACTACTGTAAGTTACAAAGGGACGCTCGTTCTCGAGGATTCACAAATTGATATACCAACATGGACACGCGAACTAAATACAGGCAATCACTACAAACGTTCGAACTAGCAAAGCTATCAGAGCATTCATAGATTAAGATTCGAAAGAAATAAGAGCAACAGCATGGCGGAAGTCGCCGACGCCGGCAAACGCATTCGCAATGGCCGCTGAAGTTCGCCATGCCCTAGAAGGTAACTTCCCAACGTTGTCTCGAAAAGAAAAATTGCTGCATTCTGAGAGGCAATGGGGAAGTCTGTTTTTACATTTGCTCTGCGCTCTTTGAAGCCACTTCTGTCTGTGTATCTACCATCTTGTAACTCAGGATGGATATGTCGCCTATCCAGTTTCCGGGAATATAAGCAGCATTTTAGAGAGCCTTTCAAGAGTTAGCGGCAAAGCTACTGCTTTAAAGGCACATTTCATGATAAATATGGTTTCTCCCTCTTTTCCGGCTTTCAGTATGTATCTTCGAACGAATTTCGCCGGCATTGTATAGGCTGCACCGATCACTAGGGAACCAATGTAGGCATTTCAAACAACTTGTCATGACCAAAAGCTGTACATCCCCCTTATATATTATTTCCGTCATGGTAATATCGTACAACCTCTGTCTTCCCACTTTTAACGAGCCTTATTTTTCTCGAATTGGGCGAATTTTCTCGCTTTCTTCACTTCTAATGAACTATTCTCAACCTACACCTCCGCTTTTCGACTAAAAAGGGTTACCTTACAATTACTGAGAATACAGCCTTCAACTTAAGATGGTTGAAAGACAACAGTGGTAAAAAGCGGGTTCAGAGAGAAGTTCATACTATCAATCTTATCCACACTCTCACAAGTTCAGCGGTATTAGAGGCACACTTCACGATACTTTCAACGCCCCTTGTGAGCATAAAGCAAAAGTGGCAAAAAAATACTTACTTCGCAGAAGAGGCTTCTAAACTAGAGGTTGCACTATATGACCATGAAGTGATATTCAAGTAGGGGGTATTCGGACAAAATTCCAGTTGCCGCGATTGCGACTACATGAAACCGAAATTTNTTTCGAAAACTGCCTTCCCTTTACCCATTTGGCCATGAGAAGCTCTTTGAACTTCCAACATGGGAGTCTCTTGAGATAGTGCAGCTTCTACACCGCAGT